AGGGGAGCCTTGTTGTTCTCGGGAAAGACCCCTGGGCCGCTGGCTGTCGGCCAGGTCTCCCCGCGTGGACACCCAGTCATCTCTCCCCGTTAGGCCGTACGTGTTGGGGAGTTGGCCCCTCTCCCCTTGTTTCCGAGCTGAGAGCGCTTGTGAAAGCCCCACAGATCGCGCCGCTTAGCCCGGCCTTCCACCGGCGGCCTTGGCCTTGCAGAGGCCCCATTGTGGTCAAGCCGGCCCCAGCCCTCGCGACCCTGTGGGACGGTCCAGCTGCCCCACAAGGCTTTCCAAGACCCCCGATCCTCGGGGAATCAGACGGCCACTTCTTTTCTCCCACTCTGATGGATTCCAAAGCCAAACTTTTTGGTTGGCAGCCAATCATTTAATCTCTGCGTCACCAGGATTCGTTGGCTTTGCCTTTATCAATGTCCCTGAAATGTAACGCCCCCAGATGGCTTCAGGCCCGTAGCCTCAGCCTTTTCCACTTGTTCCTTGTGCAGTAGGACTGTGTGGGGCCCAGGCTCTTCTGGGTCTCCTGCGCCCAGTAAGTTGCTTCTGAGACTGCATAGGCCCAACCTCCCCGCCCTCCTTCGGCCTCCTGACGGCCCAGGCCCAGCGCAGTCCCTTACTGGACACCCTGGATTCTGACTCCAGGGCCCGCCGCTCGTCCAGCTGGGCTAGTGATTCCTTACTTATAAAACAGAAACAAATAGCTTCATTAGGCCTAAAATGAGCTTTTATTTATGAAAGTGATTAGTGTTTGGCTCATGGTGTGTTAGCTTTCAGTATTTGCATTTTAGTACGTTGTCAAATAAAGTCTTACCTATTTACTTATATATTATCTCTTCCCTGCTAGAGTATAAGCTTTGTGAAGCCACTGGCCTTGTTCAGGTCAAACTATCATTCGCTAAACTTGTATATATACTAGGGAACTCTGGTAGCCTGTCTACCCACAGTATAATTTTTCAAACTTGATTAACTACTGGTTGTTGTTGTTGATTGCCGTTCAGTCGAGCATGACTCATAATGACCGTATGAACGAAAGGCCTATAACCACGACAATTATCAAAGTTCATTAGAGTTTCCAGAGGCATGTTGTTTAGAAGTGGATGCCACTATGCTAAAAATTTCATTAAGAAAAGTACCTTCCAATGCAATTATTTTTTTTAAATTTTTATTTTATACTTGTTTACATAACAAAGTTCATATACATAGTTTTTCACACTGGATCCTTAGCTTCGGTTTGCAGAGTTCTTTAGAGAGGCGTAAAGGAAATCATTTGAAAGAAAAATTGTATATTGGTGAAGAATGAGCTCCTCAGCAGTATTTCTAGTAATTTTTTTTTATTTCTAGTAATTTAAATTAAACCCAAATATTTTACAATAAAGAGGTAATAAAATACCTTCTCCCCCTCCCATCCACCCTCCATGCGCTTTCCAGCTGGTATATCTTTACGGAGAGGATTGCTCGTCTTTCTCCTGTGGACCAGCTGGTAGGTTTGAACTGTGAAAGGTGTTTTCTTCCTCTTCAGTGTTTCATGTCAAAGTAATAATTGTTTTAACAGTAAAAGTTGAAGGAGGAACCCACACAAAAGTAGTTCTCTAATGAGATTCTCTTGGAACTCTGTGCAATGGGTTGGATAAAATGAATCAGGTCTTTGAACTTGCTCCAGAATTTCAACTTTTCCTCAAACTTCCCGTTTATCAGTGCTCTGAGATCTCCTGTGCAGCCTGACTGATCTCTTACTGTAATTTTTATTCAGCCTCGTGATCATGATGTTTATAGTAAACTAGTAATTACTTATGTATATGAATTAATGAGTCATAGCTCTTTGCTTCTCTTGGAAAAAGACTCTTTAAAGCGGAACTTATATTAAGACCAATACATCTCATTTGACTGTGTTTCTTTTCATTTCTTTTAACGTATTAAGGTTTGTCCATAGAAGACCTTCCTCTTCCTGACGAAAAACCCTTGGGCTGCTTATTTGAAGTCAGAATGTCAGCAAGGTTGAGAGAGTCGCCAACCCTCCTTCCACAGACTTCAGCAGAGTCAGACAGGATTCTGATCGTGAAGATTGAAGATGACGATGACGACGATGAGCAGACCTGTGATGAGGACACCAGCCTCCACTGGAACAGCTACTGCAGCCCGGAGACCTTCCGCCAGCGCTTCAGGCAGTTTGGCTACGAGGATTCCCCTGGGCCCCGGGAGGCGCTGAACCAGCTGCGGGAACTCTGCCATCTCTGGCTGAGGCCGGAGGTGCACACCAAGGAGCAGATTCTGGAGCTGCTTGTGCTGGAGCAGTTCCTGGCCATCCTCCCCAAAGGGCTGCAGGACTGGGTGCAGAAGCATCAGCCAGAGAATGGCGAGGAAGCCGTGACTGTGCTGGAAGACATAGAGCGAGAGCTGGACGAGCCAGCAGAGCCGGTAAGAAGCAGGATGACCAGGCTGAGTCAGGAGCGTGGGCCCATCATCGAGGGTGGAGCAGTTGAGTTCTGTTTCCTGAGTTCAGTTCATGTGGAGGGTGGTGAGTGTGCTCACAGGTGTCCCAGAAAGCATAGCCCGGCTGCTGCTTGCCCCTTTCCCATCTAGTGGCTGTTCAATTGTGTAGGATCAAGCAGGGTTTTGTCCATTACACACAGGGCCACAGCCACCTCCACAGCACCTAATAACAGGATAGATTCTGCATACTTTCTTCTCTTGTTTTAACTCAAGTCTCAATATAATTTTCCTCCTTTCACCTCAGTTATACCTCGTTCTTTTCAGGTTTTATTTTTCAGACAAAGAGAGGACAGATTTGCAGAGAAGCTAACACCTCGGCGAGTAACTCCAGAGTTACCAAATAGCCGGCTCAAATCCAACAAGAAGCAGCTCCCGTGGACCTCGTGGGAGCACCAGTCCTTACGACCAAATGGTGAGGGGCAGGATTCACTTGAGAGCGGTGGGCAAGGTGGCGTTTCAGCCTGCCACATGCAGAGATCTCAGTCGTCCCCTCCTGTTTTCTTTGTGGGAATCTCCTCTGTTAACTTTTCCTGCCAGGCAAACACTGTCATCGTATTTTTCATTTATTTCTCATAAATTTTTATGAATCTTGAACTTCTAAATCCTTAATATCATCTTCTTCAGGATTTTCCAATCTGTTTTAAGCAGAATAACTTTTCTCACGTGAAATTTCACTTGGAATGCCAGTATATTAAACAGATGAAAACACAGCTACTCTAGCTGTGCAGTAGCAAGCAGTCCCAGGTCTCAGGACCTCCCGTTCAGTCTCAAAAGATAACTGAAGCTTCTTCTACCCTGATGCAGCCCCTGATCCCTGCTAAGGGATGTCACGGCACCCTGTTTAGAGACTACACATCTACCTTGTCATTTGCAGTGTGACTAACTCCTTGCTCGTTTGCTGGTGGCTCTAGTGTCCCAGTCTCCCATGTTGCTGCTGAGTGACTTTGTTCTCTTAACGGTGCTTCGAGTATGTTCCTCCCATCCTTCATATCCTAAACTTGCTTTAAGGACTCTGCATCACAGTTCACAAAATTGCTCCAAAGACATTGACACAGAAATCTTTTCTTTGAATGCACATAATAAATAAATGCTGTTGAAGGGACAGGTGAGGGGGCAGTCTTACTGTGTAGAGTGGTGGGGAAGGCTGGCCTCCCTGACGAGGTGACACGTGAGTTGAGATCCTCCTTACTGATGATCTTCCTGGTTGAAACAGGAGAAACCCCAGTTGGGAGAGTCTTCCTCCTTTCCCCATCCACTCTTTCCCTTCTCCAGGGAGAGCTAAACAGGATGAGAGCTTTTAGAAATTAAAAGAAAAAAAATAAACTTTTTAAAATTTAGGGATTTAGGAACCAACTTTTAATCCTTACTTGGCACTGTGTGCTCCCAAGAGGATTGACTAGCTCTGTATGCAGGGCACTTCACACTTCCAGTTTGGAAATGACCGTGGCTTCATTAGGAGAAAAGCAAAAGTCTTCATGTTTGATTTCACTCACTCTGATTGGTGCTGACTGCAGAAGCGAGCAGCCTCGAAGCCAGGTTGTGGGCTCCCGGTGTTGGTACGAGGCGCTGTGCACTACCTGCCAATGTCCTCACAACAACCTTGCTCATGTCTTTTCTTAAGATGTGTAGGTTTTTAAACCACAAAAGTCCCATGGTCTTGCCGTGCAAGAACTCAGACACAGAAGCATTTCTTAGAGTCACTGCATGATTTTGCTGGAACTGAGACGTGTCTTTTCAAAGCTGCTCATATAACCCTGGTCTCAGTGCTGTCACATGCTAACCGTGCCAGGTAATGATAGAAATGATGAAGCATCCAGGTCACTTGGGAGTAGGAGCTCTAAAAACTGAATTGGAGACAAAATCCTTGCCAGTTATGAAACTCTTTAAACCAGTAACAGCAAACTGACATGTACTTAAAAATATTTACTTGAATAAGTATTTGAATAAATATTTACATGAATAAGTGGAAGAGATACATTCATTTTATAATTCATTAGACTCATTTTAGATTAATTTTTTTAATTAAATTTTTTTGTCAACTCAATTTCTGTAGCCAGTGTCACATGAAGCCACTGGCTTTTCTTCCCAAGCTGCTCTTGTCACATCATCCTTATGGCCTGTCCTTGAAGGGGCCCCGTACCACTCAGCATCAGCATTCTCACCGTTCCCTTCAGTCTCTGTCATCTTCTCACATAAAGGTCCCCTCATCAGTTGCGGTCACATTCACTTTCAATTCTTTGGAGTCCATAACCATCAGCAAAACTGCATTTCTTCCTTTCATAGGTTCATTTAGGCAGCTGTTTTCCAATAGCTTCAGTTAAAATGCCATGTAAAGATTACTGAGGTAACCTAACAGCCCTCTGCATCTAAGCAGATTTGTGTACATAGAATAGCTGGAGCCCACAGACCCCTATGTGCACTTTCTCATGGGCATCAAATGTAACACAAAATAATACAATATACGGAGCAATTCAGCCAGTACTCTAAAACACATGCAGGATTGGGTTTCTCATGGATGGATACCAGGTACTACCCTCCCTTTTGTCAGTTATCCTGATTTATAAACTTTTTGCCTAGCTTGTATATTCATATTCCTTTCTGATTGCTTGGCTCTCTGCAGTCTTTTTCTTTGCTTGATTATCCATTTATCGTCAGCCTTTTGTTGGTTTATTATACTTTTGTGCTAAATCATGCTTGCCCCATTGTCATACTTGACTCCTAGTTGTTCCTTTGCTTCTTCAGTAATTCTTCTTTTGCACCAAACTTTCCTCAATCTTGAGGTATCTTTGTACTTCTTACTTTTCCACAGTTTTGTAAGTTTATAGTTTACTGTCTTCTCAGTGTTGTCAGTCTTCTTTGTTTAATGTTCTCCTCAGTAGTTTCTGTTTTACCATCACCATCCGCTTTCTTTCTCCCTCACCCCCTTCAGATCATTCTGTTTCCCTTCCTGAACAGAGAGCTAGTGACATTTGCTTTTCGTATCCATTATTTCAGATGCAAACACCAAAACTGTGAATGTGGCATCGGCTTCGAGGCAAAAGACCTCTTCCGGCGTAGAACGGCATTACGATGTTTCTAACACCCTCCGGATGAATGCTTCCCAGTGCTTCACATATAGAGGAACCTGCAAACAGAATGACAGATTTACAAGAAGACAGGTTGCAAACACCTCCAGGAAAAAGCAGCACAAGTGTAATGAATGTGGCAAGGTCTTTAGTCAGAGCTCAGCGCTCACCCTCCATCGGAGAATCCACAGTGGGGAGAAGCCTTACGCGTGCAACCAGTGTGCAAAGGCTTTCAGCCGAAGTGCCGTCCTTGTTCAGCATCGGAGAACCCACACTGGCGAGAGACCCTACAAGTGCCATGAATGCGGAAAAGCATTTAGCCAGAGCTCAAATCTTTTCAGACATAAGAAAAGACACATTAGAGAAAAGGTCCTGTCAGCGTCGTGAAGGAATCAAAGCATTTGCTCGGTTTTTTTACCAGGATAAAAAGCATGAGGCACACTTTCCTTTGTTGTAAGTCCATGGTTTTAGTGGGTACCAGTTTCCTAAAGGGTCAAAGAAGCCGCAGGGAGAATGTAGAGCATCTTATGTCAGTATTTGCTTTAGTGATTATCTGTAAAGTCAGCTCACATGTTAAAGATTTCTAAAGCCTAATGCAGATTTTTATCTGAGTGGCCCTTAAAAAGACAGTCTCACACAAGTTCTGTTAGTTTTGTTATTAGCACAAATGATAGGTTAGTGTATTCTTGTTAGAGAAGTATATTTTCCCCCTTTTGGGAAGGGGTTATGATTAACTCAGTTTAAAAATGGTTATTCTCCCTCATTTCATAACTTGAGTGTTAGAATTCTAAAAACCAAAGATTAAAGTGGTGGGTTTTGGTTTTGTTTGTTTACTTTTCCATTTTGTCTTATGATCCCAAATATGGGACTAAAATTGAAAAGACCCAAAATAATATGTGCCTCAAAACTGGGCTGTAATGTCCAGGATCATTTTCAGAAGGTAGGTGAGTTAAGGGACTTAATCTCCAATGAAAGTTCACAGACCTACACACTACTAATAATACTAAGTCATTTCCCTTGTAGGAAAAACAGTCTCCTTAACATTGTAATTTGGAAACAGTACGTGGCTTCAAGGAGTGGGCTAACCAGGAATGTTTTAATAATTGGAATATTCAGTGAGTGCTATATAAGGTTGATCATCATCTTAACATGATGAATAATTTTAATAAGGCATAAGGTGGATGAAGAACAAGACTGTTGCAGTAAGACTGATGGTACACAAATCTGATGATAGTGCAAATACAGCGTATAATGGAGAGTGTACCACAGTTCAACTGGAAAAGGAAGCCCTTAAGAGCTGATGACTATTCATTGTCCTCTGTGTCCCCTTTTCAGGCATAAATCAGTTTTGCATGTGTTTCAAGCCTTTCCAGGGTTTTGGAATTCTCAGTAAGATGACTTTTTGGGCAAGTCGTCATAAAATAAGACCCTGACTTCGTAAAGCTCTTGTACAAATGAGGAAATCACTAAATCGCAACTTTAAGAACCCACTCAGTAATTGTTTAGAAACAATTGTTGAGACTAACCATTATAGCTTATAAGTGTTAAGGCAATGTTTTTAGAATGTCTTGAGTAGCAAATTGTAAGCATATTAAATCAGATTTCCCATTTAAGAATAAAGTGTATATATTCAAATTTGTATATTAAAACTATTTTGTTAGTGCACAACATAAATGTTTTCTTTCCCTAGAATTCTTCATAAAACTGTTAAATATTGCAATAATATATATTGTGTTTCACTTGATGTTCAGTTGTCAAAAGTATAGGGAAACATCAGAAGGTGAAGTTTTTGGAAGGGAAAGGAGAGTATCAGAGTGAACTTTGCTTGGTTAGGATCTTCATGCAGTATAACCAGTTCCATAGAGAATACAACCCTATCTAATGCTTAGAGTAACTCCAGAAATCAATGTGGAATGATTATGTTCTGGTTATTGATAAGATAGATGAAACCTTGAAAGCAGATTTTTCTTAATAGATTTTTCTAATAATCATTGTGTGTTGTAGCTTTAGTAAATGTAAATATACATTGGAATTTGTGTTTGGGGTTTTGTTTTTTTTTTAATTACTAATGTAGGAGTCGTTTTATTTGGGGCTCATTCTAGTTGTAATGAAAGAGGAACAAGCCATCCAATAAAGCAGCAGATGCCTCAGTAATGTGTGTTGTGACTTAATGCTTAATTCTGGAAAGACAGTTTCTTTGGTCCTATGAGAATTAAAGTGACAGAATCGACATCACATCTGTCCTCACTTGATGCTACCATTCTAACTTACGCAGTGTTCTTTTTATTGTGTAGAACCTCAACTTCTCCACCAGAAGTGCTATGAATCGTATCAGTTAAGTACAAACTGGAGGTGAATCCTTAAAAAAGGGTATTTTTCTGAGTTCTCTAGCAGTTCTAGTAGATCTCCTGGTAGAAGGTTCTAGTTTATCTAGGAGAGTTAGTATTGATGACATGAGTCACAGGCGACTCGACGGCACATAACAACAACAATAATAGTACTCTCATTAGATAGATAGCAAATGCTTCAGAACAAAACAGCGTTTTTTAATGAATTCCCTTCTTCGGTGGATCTTCAAAAAACAAAAACAGCTCCTCCACATTTCCATTAAAAGAAGGGATGTTCATCACTTTGGGATGGGACTATATCTTTTTATCTTCAAATAACCCCAACAAACCCACCGCTGACAAGTCTGTTGCGACCCATGGCTGCCCTTCGTTGGATTTCTAAAGCTGTAAAGCTTAGATGGAACAGACGGCCTCTTTCTCCCAACATAAGCTGGTGGATCAAACCACTGATCTTCCCATTAGTAGTCACTGAATGAAACTACATGAACCAGTTATTGGAAGGTTCTTCTAAAAAAATAGCAAATGGATTGGGGAAGATGAGATTTTAAAATTCAACTAAACTGGCTGAGAATTTACTCTCAACATCTTCAGGCCTAGATTCAAAGGTACCCTAAAACCCAGATTTGAGCAAACACATCTCTAAAAGAAGTGGCAATTTCCAGACAAAGGGGCCAGGAAAAGGGAATGGAATGGAATGCAAAAACAGTCCTTTCCCCTTCCCGTGCCCTGTTCATTTTTCCTCCTTTCCCACCCAGCACTCTGGTAATATGGGTACAGTGGGATTGGCAACAGCTTTATGATGGTGGTTATAAAGCTCAAAGGAGGGGACCCCTACTCCAACCAGAGAAGCTTTGGCCTCAACAAACAGTACAGATTTTCATTGATTTTATTCTGTGTCCTCTCACTGCTTGGGCCAGGAAAGAGATTCAGCTGGGCAGGGAAACAAAAACTTCTGCTTTATAGCTGGAAAAATGGTACAAAAGACCTGAAGGAGTTCCTATGAAGAGAAAGATTAGAATTCCTGAAGTTTATGAACTTTGCTCCCCTTTGAATTTCATGCTAAGCAGTAGACTATATAGACCTTGAGAACACTAGAGACAGACCCAAATACCACTGGCAACATGAATTGACATTGGAACATGAACTAACTCAACATCATAGCCAACGAGGTAAGAACTGTGGCCTGATGACAACAGGTATTTGCCTGCAGGGACAAAAACTCAAAACTCATTCCCTCTAGTTGGAACCGACTTACAGCAGACCCTTCAGGAGGTTTTCAGAGGCTGTAAAGGAAGCTCTGGTGGCCTAGTGGTAAGGAGATGTTCTGTCATCTCAAAGGCATGCGGTTTGAATCCACAGAAGAAAGATGGGCTCTGTAGGAGAAAGATGACAATCTCCTCCCATGCCATTTACTGCCTCTGAAAACCTGCCAGGTTAGCAATGGGTTGGTCCCGACTCAATGGTATACGACAACAAAAGGTACATTATATAAACCAAAGTTACTTGGCAGAGGAAGAATCAGAACATTTTTTATTTGAGAGAAAAAAAGATCATTAGCCACCACCTGTGAGATGACAGATTTGGTTTTGGATTTTTTTTTTTTTTAAAAAAAGTTGTGGCGAGCTCTGGTGGCCTAGTGGCAAGAAGCTGTACTGCAATCCCAGAGGTGAGCAGTTCAAATCCACCAGATGCTCTGCTGGAGAAGGAGGGACAATCTCCTCCTCTACCTGTCAGATCCGATTTGATGTAACACACAAAAAAATAATAAAAACAACATCATTTAAAAAAATGTGTATGTACCATCAAATCAGATCTGACTGGTACAGGAGGAGATTGCCCCTCCTTCTCCAGCAGAGCATTTGGTGGATTTGAACTGCATGCCTCTGGGATTACAATGCAGCTTCTTGCCACTAGGCCACCAGAGCTCCCCGAGATGACAGATTTGTAATGACCCAAAAGTTTTAAAGCAGTCATTATATCCAGGCTTAGGAGATAAGGGTGAATGAATGGAAAGGTAAAAGAAGAAATAAGATAAAAAGAAGCACCAAATGAAACTTTTGAATTTTAAAATGCAATACCAAAATAAACCATTAGGGGGTGGGTCCAATGGCAGAATTGTTGGGTATCATTGAGTTGGAACCAACTCCCAGCTCACCCTCCAGCAAGCTTCAGAGGTAATAAATTGCATGGAAGGACATTGCTCATCTTTCTCCCATGAAGCATCTGGAGGATTCAAACCACATGCCTTTGTGTTGACAGCACAATTCCTTACCACTACACCCTAGCTCCCTAATGGCAGAATAGAGGTGGCCAGAAAAAGAGTTCATGGACTAGAAGATTAATGATAAAAATTATGCTATCTAAGCAACAAAGAGAAAATGGGGTGGTGGCAGATCAGATCTTGAGGAATCTATGGAATAATATCAAAAGGTTAAAGGTGTCATCCTGAAAACAAGAAGAGGAGAATGAGCATAGAGAGGGAAAAAAATGATGAAATAATGGCTGAAAAGTCCCCAAATTTTACAAGAGACTTAAACTATAGCCTTAGGAAATTTAGTAAACTTAAACTCAACTCCATGCCCAGACATGCTCAATCAAACTGCTGAAAATGAAAAACAAATTCTGTAAACAACAATGAAACAGGATATATTTCATATAGTGGGGTGGGACGGGGTGGGGGGCAGAAGGGGGAGAGAAATGCTACAGAGGACATCATCAGAAACCCTGCAGGCCAGGAAGCAGGACAACATCTGCAAAGAACAGAACTGTCTCTCTGATAATCTATATAAAATGAAAATAACCTTCAGAAATGATTGCACCATAAATCCATTCTCAGAAAGAGGAAAACTAGGGAAATTTCTCACCAGCAGAAGTAAATAACAGAAGTTCTAAAGGAAGTTCTTCAGAAGGAAGGGAAATGATACTAGAGAGAAACTTGGATCATCAATAAATAATGAAGAGGTACATAAACAAAAAAACATACGTTAAGTCAATAAAATAGACTTCTTTATATATGACAACTGAAAAAGTATGTTGTTT